AGTGGAGTCTCATTTATGTTTTATGTCTTCTTTATTTTAAAATTTTCCAGATATTTGTATTATTTAGATTTTCTACAGAAATAAAGTTGAGGTTCATAATTCTATTATGAGCTTGTTTTTGTGCAATATATATGTTGTGTTTTGAATTGATCTCTATAAAGAATAAAGAATAAAGTTTGGACCAGTTAGAAATAGACATGACTGAGATCACGTTGCATGTAATTTCCATGCCATTTATCCATATTTGATCCATGTCATTGAATGCATATAATTGTGGTGATCATTGTGGTTTAGTCACATTAGATAATGATGAAAACTGCAGTGGTTCCTTGTTGTTGTATGAGATGGATCATATTGTTTAAAGGGAGTCTAAAAGTAAATAGCATACAATTGCACACCTGAAGAATTTTGTGATATAAATACCTAAATGAATATGAAGCCCAAGTGGGAGATTGTTATAAATTTTATTTCTAATAATTAACGTGGGCTACATATATTATTTGTAAGTATTTATATTAACTATTTACATTTAGTTGGGCTTAATAAAAGTGATCTGATTTTAATAAGCCATTAGACTACCAATAAGAAAAACTAATATGGGCCCAAATAAGTTGAAACCAGATTTGGCCCCTTAGGGGTTAATGGGAGCCCTAATAGGTTTAAAATCATAAAGATAATCATGGTCCCCAATATGCCAAATTAGAAATACACATCTCTCTGTCTCCCCATCGGAAGAATAACATCAAGTTTTGTTAAGGAATCCAATGATTTGGTTGAGGAAGATCATTGCACCAAAAGGACTATTCCGCTGCAACTTTTGATCAACGTCAATGGATACAGGTATGTATTACTAACCTTAACTATGTAATCTAAGACAACAATTCTTAATATTGATTAATGAAAAATTTCTATTTGGCTTAAGAAATTTATCCCAACAACAAGTATTATAGAACTCTATCTAGACCCTACTCATTGTCATCCCTATTCATAAGTTGTCCCTATATATTGGAATTGATCTCCATTCATGACAAAACTCAAAACCTTTGGGATTAAAATTATATTTATGATGAAAAGATACTTGCAATTAAAGGATTAAGCATTAAATAACAAAAAAATTTTCCCATATTTATTGGTTGTATTTTCCAATTTTGAGGCACACCCCAAGAGTATTCTCTAGATCAATTACTTACATTTAAAGGTTGAGTAAAACCTCCAAAACGTAAATTATAGCTTTCATTTGCAGGAGAAGAAACTACTACCATGACAGTAGTATGATTGGCATTTGACTCACTAGCATTTATATTTTCTTTATTATTACTATTATCTTATTAACATTGATCATGATCATGATCATCATTATCACTGTTAGCATTTTAGGACTTGAAGTAGACATGTCCTCCACTTCTAAGTCTCTAACATATTCAAGTATAGTTCAATTATGTTTGAAATTTAAATAAGTACCATCGGGTATGCCAATTTGTTTTAGGTAAATTTTGTTTATTGGATTCTTTTTATTTAAATTGGCAGCTTATATGAGTTTTCAACTTAAATATGTTAATGTGTCAATTTTGATTAACAATTTAATAGAAATGTATAGTGTTATACTAATAGAATCATTATTGTGACACTCTTCTACCTCTAAAGTATTATTATAAAAGATCATTAAAGAAATTCTTAATTAAAAAGATATAAGAGAACGACTTCATTAATATATATAGTATAAGGGTTCATATGTCTTTAATAAAAGCTTTATAACATAAGAAGAAAATAACATAATATAAGCTCATAAACCAAGGTACAAACCGGCCTTTTAAGAGAACCTTAAAATCATATAACAACATAAAACAAACTAAACTTCATCCACATTTAAATAAAATATTATAAAGTCCTATAACTTAGATGTTACACTTTTAGAGCAAGACTCCAAAACATCTATTGGAGCATTAAGTTTGCTCTCCCTCATGCATTAAATAAATGATTGATTACAATAACATGTAGTCTTTTTGAGGAAACACTTCATCTATGTAAGACAAATAAAGAACAAGAAAATCCGTCGAAGTGTGTGAAGTCTCGATAGTGTCATTTCTGACTAAAACACATGACAATCCATTTTGTTTTGTACTTTAAAGGTGTTAAGTAGCCTCCTTAATCAAATAAAAAATGTCAATTTGATGAAATACATTTAATGATCACAATTAATGCACCAACGAACACTTCATTTTACAAAAAAGGAAGGGGAAGAAATATGCAGCAAGGTTATGAGAGAATCTCAAGGATTTGCAATGGTTATTTCGTGAAACATGCATTAAATAAAAGATTGATTACAATAACATGTAGTCTTTTTGAGGAAACACTTCATCTATGTAAGACAAATAAAGAACAAGAAAATCTGTCGAAGTGTGTGAAGTCTCGATAGTGTCATTTTTGACTAAAACACACGACAATCCATTTTGTTTTGTACTTTAAAGGTGTTAAGTAGCCTCCTTAATCAAATAAAAAATGTCAATTTGATGAAATACATTTAATGATCACAATTAATGCACCAACGAACACTTCATTTTACAAAGAAGGAAGGGGAAGAAATATGCAGCAAGGTTATGAGAGAATCTCAAGGATTTGCAATGGTTATTTCGTGAAACATGCATTAAATAAACGATTGATTACAATAACATGTAGTCTTTTTGAGGAAACACTTCATCTATGTAACACAAATAAAGAACAAGAAAATCCGTCGAAGTGTGTGAAGTCTCGATAGTGTCATTTCTGACTAAAACACACGACAATCCATTTTGTTTTGTACTTTAAAGGTGTTAAGTAGCCTCCTTAATCAAATAAAAAATGTCAATTTGATGAAATACATTTAATGATCACAATTAATGCACCAACGAACACTTCATTTTACAAAGAAGGAAGGGGAAGAAATATGCAGCAAGGTTATGAGAGAATCTCAAGGATTTGCAATGGTTATTTCGTGAAACATGCATTAAATAAACGATTGATTACAATAACATGTAGTCTTTTTGAGGAAACACTTCATCTATGTAACACAAATAAAGAACAAGAAAATCCGTCGAAGTGTGTGAAGTCTCGATAGTGTCATTTCTGACTAAAACACACGACAATCCATTTTGTTTTGTACTTTAAAGGTGTTAAGTAGCCTCCTTAATCAAATAAAAAATGTCAATTTGATGAAATACATTTAATGATCACAATTAATGCACCAACGAACACTTCATTTTACAAAGAAGGAAGGGGAAGAAATATGCAGCAAGGTTATGAGAGAATCTCAAGGATTTGCAATGGTTATTTCGTGAAACATGCATTAAATAAACGATTGATTACAATAACATGTAGTCTTTTTGAGGAAACACTTCATCTATGTAACACAAATAAAGAACAAGAAAATCCGTCGAAGTGTGTGAAGTCTTACTTATATAAAAAAGTTTGAAGAGTTAGAAAAAAGAAAAAAAAAGAACAAAAATTATAAAAGCTTCATCCATTCTTTTTGTAAAATCTTTGTACTTATTTTGGTTGTATATATGTCTTAAAAGTAGGACAAAACAACAAATAGTTTCTCAACTTTAACTTTGTATTATTGCTCAAAAGCTAAAGAGATTTTGTTGTAAAAAATACTTGGTTATTGAAGTTTGGAGAAGTTTTGCTATTCAAAGAATACTTTGGTAGTTACTTGAAAGGGCAAACCAAAGAATACTTAAATTAAATTAGAAATGGTCTGTGAAAGAATACATGTATCTTTATAAAAGATAGTGAAACTTGATCGAGTTAATCAATAACTAGACACATTTTCAGTGGTTAAGATGAACCAATATAAAAATACATTATGTTCTTTGTTTTTATCTCTTTGTTTGCACTCATATAGTGACGCTACAATTTCACTATTTCAAAAAGTGTTGAATTTTCGATTGATACTATCCAGCCCCTCTTCTAATGTCTTTCTTTTCTTCACAATTTGATATTAGAGCTTATCCTTTAATGGAATTGAATATCTAACTATGCTAAAGGAAAAATCTTAAGATGGGAAGTACTGAAGGTTAGTGCTTGTCTAAAGAAGTTTATCTAATAAAGCCACGAGTGTTTAATGAAGAATACTACCCATATTGGAAGGACAAAATATAGATGCTAATCAAGTTTATCCAATATTAACTCTGAAAGATCATCACAAACAATGACATTCTTGTGACCAAACTAGATAATGAGTACATGCAAGAAGACGACAATATCTTGCAACTCAACACAATACATCCTTGCTTGTTTTTTGTCTCAAATGGAATAGAACAATTTCTAGAGTTGTAAGACTACTAAAGAAATATGAAAAGATATCAAGATAACTAATGTGGGGACTGAAGATGTAAGACTTAGACGAGTTGTCACTTTCCAGATACACTATAAGTTGTTTTCCATAAAAAAGATCAAAATCATTTTAAAATTATTTAAAATAATATATAATATTATTATAATATAATAATTAAATTAAAAATTACATTTCATATAAAATTATTGAAAGATCAAATTCTTTACATTTTTTTTTAATAAATATACCAATCTAATCAGACTTATTTGAGCTTTAACATATGGTCTAATTCTACTTTCTAAATTCCTTTTATTACTAGTATTTTAACTTGTATAAAATGTATAAATTAAATATTTATTTTAATAAATCATATACATAAATAAATACTGGATTTAAATATATAAATTATTAAAATTTGTATAAATAAATTTTTAAACATATAAATTATATTTTAAATTTATAATAAATAATTTATATTGTGAAATAAAATTATTGATAATTTATTTTTAATTATTAAATTTTAATTTGTCGATAAATATAATAAATAAAATTAAATTATATAAGAATTTTTAAAAAATTCTATTCGAATTATTTTCAAGGTCCATCTATACAATATATTTTTTTTATATAAAATTATATTAATTTTAAAAAAGTGTCACATAAAAATTTGCCGGTTAAACCCTAAAAATGTCGCAAAAAATGCTGTGTTCTTCGAAGTTAGCTTGATCAGTTGCGTTGTGCCCTCGGCAATTACTTTGCAAAGAAGAGGAAGTGGTTGCAGCGTTGAAACGCGTATCTGGATTTCACGTGCTTTGCGTATGCTGTGAAACATTACATTACTTGAGACACCGAAGCATTCAAATCTGTAAGTGAATAAATGGTGCCTAGTTTTCTCATTTCAAGATTAATTTCATCATCATTCACATGCTACAAGAGCACCCATTTTCTATTGGGTTCTCTGCTGCAGCACAAACACAATGCTTCACTTTTGCTCTTCAATTCATTCACTTCAAGCACCTCTTCTGGTTCTGATTCAGATGGAAACCACCCCAAAGGTGACACCTTTAGCGTGTCTTACCTCATCAACTCATGTGGGGTGTCCCCAACAGTGGCTAAGGAACTCTCCAAAAGGGTCAATTTGAAAACCCCAGATGGCCCAAATGCTGTTATTGATCTTCTCAACAACTATGGGTTCTCAAAAACCCAGCTTGCAAAATTTGTAATGAAACACCCTTTTGTGCTTGTTGCAAATGCAGAGAAAACCCTTTTGCCTAAACTCGAGTTCTTGCGTTCTATTGGTGTCTCCAACAGCGACATCCCCAAGATCCTCATTGCTAACCATTCTATCTTGAAGAGGAACTTGAAAAAATGTCTCATCCCTCGTTATGAGATCTTAAAGAGATTAGTTCGTGATGACCAGGAAGTTGTTAGAGCTTTGAAAAATTGCCCACTTGGTTTTGTGTATGGTGGCGTAATGAATGACTTGGTTCCAAACATTGAAGTTTTGAGGCAATCTGGTGTGCCTCAGGCTTCTATCTCTCTCTTGATGATCAATGCTCTGTCTGCAGCACATGTGGAGCATTCTAGATTTGTGGAAGTCGTCAAGAAAGTTAAGGAAATTGGGTTTTGTCCTTCGAGAACAAATTTTGTCATGGCTATTAATGTTCTTGTAAATATGAGGAAAGAAGTGTGGGACTCAAGGTTTGAGGCTTATGAAAAGTGGGGCTGGAACCGTGAAATGGCTCTTCGAGCATTCACAAAGTTTCCGGGTTTTATGAAGTTGACTGAGAAGACTTTTACTAGAAAAATGAGTTTCCTAGTGAATGATATGGGTTGGCCATCAGAAGCTATTGCTGAATACCCTGTAGTTGTAGCTTACAACTTGGAGAAGAGGATTATCCCTAGATTCTCGGTAATCAAAATCTTGATATCAAAAGGTCTGCTTGAGAATGATGTGCACTTTAGTGGCATTATTTGCATAACTGAGGAAAACTTTTTGGAGAAATTTGTCATCAATTTTCAGAATGTTCTGCCCCTCTTACCAGATGTCTACAGAGGTGTGATCAATCCATCAAATGTGATGTAGTCTTTGAATTTTTTATGGCTATGTTTAACTTCCAAATTTTTTATTTCAATACTAAATTGATGAAGCCTGAGCTTTGCCTGCTTTCACATTTTGTGCCAACATTTTGAGTTCTATTTTCTTAGGTAGATGGACTTTTTGTGAAATTTATAGGATGCTGATTACATGAACAAGTTTATAAATCCATTTATTGGTGATTACCAATTTTGGTAGCTCATTTTATTTATGGCTGTTGAAGCTACAAAACACATTAAAGGAAGAATGTCTGTTTTGTAGGCCAGGCATACTTTTCATCTTTATTGTTGTATTTTTTTAAAATTTGTTAATCTATTATGGGAAACATTTCTTCCATCTCTATGGCTTTTTATTTTTTTAAGTGACCATACTAAAGATTTAACCATCCATTATAAACAAAGGTGACATGTTATAGGCATGTGCATGTCTATACTTCATACTACCATAAACTATGTAGAACGTCAGGGAGGAGGGCCCTGCTGTCTATTAGAGCATGCAGATGGGATCAATTAACTAAGATTGAATCAAGTTACATTTAGTTGTGCTACTATGGCCAGTCTTTAATAAATAATTTCTGTAAAGATATCATATAATTTTATAATCATCCTCTACTTGTCACTATTGTGCATACTGTTATGTGGTGTGGTCGATACATTTAGCTTTGAACTTTTTGTCAACTACTGGTACTCTTTATGCTTTATACATTATCTTATGAGAGTAACCAGAAAGAAGAGAAGGTTACCTTCACAAATGTTCGTGATCAAAATCTATTTAAATCTTTAATGTTTCTTGAATGAAGATATCTAAGCACAATGTGCTGAGAGATTTGTAGTATTGACTGTTGTTGGTGAAGATTGGGATTTTGTTATTTCTCTCCCTGTTGAATCAGGCCCTTAACCTGATGGCTAGGGTGCAACTTTATTTCCCTAAAATATTTGAAACTGCATTTAACTTTAGGGGCTGCTTCCATTATAAGCATTATGGAATATGGATTTTACACTGTCCTTTGGAACTGATACTAATAATGTAATCTTTACTACTTGTAATATTTGTACACACTAGGAACAATTTTGAGATAGTTTGTTTGGCCTTTGTCTTTTGAAAGAAAAAAATATTGCGAGGGATTGATTGGTGATCAAATACTGTTGCCATCATATACTCTTTTTCGTAAGTGTTAGGCGGTGCAAATTTTGGGTGATCTAATGGTAGCCTGGTTGGTGTAAACAGATTTAAGAGGTTGAGAATTAATACAAGTCAAAAGATTTACTAGGAGATTTATGTGCTTAGTGCTTTTAGATGTCATTCATAATATTAACTGATTGTGAACGTTAGGATGATAAATTGATGACATAGTTCTAATAATGAATTACAAGTGTGTGATATTTATGGCTGCATCTTCCTTGCTCTATCTATAGTTGTTACTCTATTTGTCTTTTTTATTTTTCCCTTCTTTTTTACTTTTGATTTTCTTAGGACTTGTTAGTGACAACATTCACTAGTTCAGTTTGTCTATTATGCAACCAACTTCTTAGTTCTTATGCTCACAAAGGATTAATGGGCCTTACAGAAGGTTCAAAATTGAGATATGTAATCTGTCCGAACTGTTTTCCTATGAAATTACAGAACTGTATAAACTTTACAACTTATCGTCCAGTGATCGAATATGAACAAATCTTAGAATAGTAGAAGGCTTTCTAACAGAGTTTTCACACTTAGAGTCGTTCAACCATGCTTTGAATGATCTTCAAGGCTTGTACTTCTCGTTGATGATGCTTTGATGCTTGTTCTTCCTGTTATTAGTGTGTGATTGGATGTGATTTTGTGATCCACGTACATCCATGAATTCATATCAAATTGTTACAATATGCAGAAACTACATATACTTGCTTCTGAAAATTTACGTTACTTAAAGTTCAAAATGAATTCCAAACATGCCCTTACTTTACATTTAAGATCTTTCACGTTATGTCAGTGAATACTTGTTTATGAGTTGAGGATAGCTGTACCAAGGTTGTCTTTTATTCACCAAAAAGACATTACCAACTTCTGATGGTGATATTGTTTTTCTGAACATTCTTCTTTTGTTCTTTCTGTCTGACTTTGTACTTATCACGTAGGTCGCACAAGCCTCTATTAGAGATTGTAATTATACTTGGAAAACACTATCCTTTCATTTAGTGCAAGGATATTCGAACGTTGTAGCAAATCAATGAAGATTGTTTAAGGTTGAACAAGCGTGAGGGTTTCATGTATTATTTATTAATGTAATTTTCTAATATAAGAATAATTACAATTAATAATGTTTAAGGTGTGTATTAATACAAAGGTTGAATCATAAAGAGGTCTTTCTCCTTTTATTTCCAATACTCAAAATTGAAGATAGTAAATGAAACCCTAAATAAATTTAGAGATTTATTTGAATTTTTTTTTAATTTTAAAAGCTAATATATAACGACTAATTATAATTTCAAGAATCAAATAAACAATTTACTCTATAAACTAGTATTATATATTATAAATTTAAAATTAATATTTTATTTAATATATTTATTGTTGTTATGTTAAAATACATTTTGGTTCTTATAATTTCACTTATTTATTTTTTAATTTTTATAATTTAAAATAAATAATTTTAGTATATATATTTACCTTTTTTAGTTCTTGTTATGGATTTGTGTGTAACATTGTTTTTGAATAATGTAAACTTATTAAATCTACATGACGTTAATGTGTTAGATTTGGTATATAATCATGTGTCAACTAATGATTTGGAGGAAAAAAATAAAGTCTTTGATTGATGTAAAATTTCTTTCTATCTTGGTCAATGTGTTCATCAAGCAAGTTGGGAGCATGGAAAAAACCTCATTCTAGCATAAAGTCTCACTTTCCCTTTGTCTTTATAATGAATGGATTTTGAAGATGACTTCCTACTCATTTAACTATCTTCCTCCTCCTCTCTTTTAAGAAAATTTATTCGTGCTCATATTAAGTAATTCTAACAATGTTGTTTGTGAAAAAAATCGAGTAATAAACATTGTAAGTGAGGGTAAAATACATATATGAAGCATCGAGAGATTTAATTTAAGATAATTCAAGCAAAATAAAATCCACAAAAATACAATGTTAAAGACATCTATCATGTTAACATAAGTTAACGACAAAGATTAAAAATGATTAAAAAAGATAAGTATAGAAATTAAAAGGTCTATTTCAAATTATAAGAATTGGAAGGTAAAGTAACTGAAACTATGAAAATCAAAAAAATATTTTAATCTTATTATTATTATTATTAAGACAAAATATCATTCGCATTCTTGAAGTTGATACTTTAGTTCTTAAAAGTATAAAAGTTTATTGAGTTTTTGAAAATGTAAAATGTTATTCACTTTAGTCTAAAATAAAAAAAAAGACTAATAATAATAATAATATTAATGTATATTTAAGGACTAAAATGACAATAAATAGATAATTTTAAGAAGTTAAATGAAACAATTAGAACTTTCAAAAACTTAAAATACTTATAAATAAAATAACACCCTATACCCAAAAAGTCCTCTTTTATATGTATTTTAGCAAATTGGAGGAGTTTATTTATTTTATATATATATAATACTATTAGATATTATATTTTTCAATAAGGTAGATGTGAATGCCCAATCTTGTTCTTTTCTTTTTTTTTACTCAATTTACTTTGGATCACCTCAACAAAATATAACACAAAAATAATAAATAAATGGAAAAAATAAAGAATAATAATAACAAGGAAAAAGAAAACAATCCAAGATGTCTATACAGACAAACAAATTCTCAATTTCAAAATGCTCAAATTTGATATTCTTCGAGGATGAGCAGAGCCAAATGTTGAGTTTGTGTTCAAAGTCCTGCAATGCCAATATACCTATTTTTTTTCAAACACAAAAAAAAAAAAAAGAGGGGATAGACATTGACAACACAGATCTTGTTTAACAAACATATCTTCTCAGAGTCAAGACAAGTATGCCAAATTAATAAGTCAAAAGAAAGCTGAAAAAGAAAACTTAAGTTCTATTTCATAAAAAAGATAAAAAATATTAGCATTAAAGTTGAAATACTTTGATGTCTATAAATTGATGGACTAACAAATAGAAAAGGGGACTGCAAAAAAAAAAGGGGGAGTATAGAGGTGATCTAGAGGCATTGGAAGAAGTTTGTACAACATTGAACTATCATCGGAGATGTTTGTCTATTTTGCCATCTCACTCGAGCATTCTTCAGGTTCATCCATTTGAGAGCATAAAATAGGAAGGTAACATATTTTTTTTTCTTTCCCACGGAGCTTTTATGGTAAATCTCGTGTCTAATCTTTATTTTTTCCCTTTTCCTTTATATCCCGTATTTTTCTCTATCCCACAAAATTTCTGAGAAATTTCATGTTTGTTCTTTCTTTTTTCCTTATTTCTGACATTTTTCTCTTTCTCACGAAACATTCAAGAAGTTTCGTGCTTGATCTTTCTTTTTCTCCTTTATTTTTTGCTGTGTTATTGTTATTTTTTTTTTTTTTAACTTTTCTTTTCGTACTTTCACCGTGGGTGGATCGGACTTGTTGCCCATTGATGTATATGATTTTTTTCTTTTCTTTTTGGCACTTAGATACTATCACATCTTATTTATTAACATAAGTAACAATTATGAAAGTAAATTAGTTTTATAAAAAAGGAATCATGTTACATAAGGATAAATAATATTAACAATAATAATATTATTATTGATAATAATAATGATAATAATAATAAATAACAACAATAGTAATAAATATTAATAATATTATTTATCAAGAATCAATATTAACTAAATATATCATTTAAAGAGAGATTATTTGAATGTGACATTCCTTTAATTTTGGGACTTAAGAATATAAGTTGTGACAACTTGGTATCTTAAAAGTTCTTATCTAAATTGAACAATATGATTAAGCATTAAAAATATTGCCACAATGCTTATATAAATACTTTAAGTCATTATATCAAGAAAATTTATTGGAGAAATGATTAATTAGATGTGACATTTTTTTAAATTTTGAGTTTAAAGGTACAAGTTATGGCAACTTGATATCTTTAAATTTTTTTCTCCAAAACAAATATCCAACCAAAATTTTTTTATACATATACCACAGTAGTAATAATAGTGATAATAAAAAAATCATATATTATAATAAGTTAACTTTGGTATAAATCTCTGTCTATTTTATATATTAGGATGTATGAGTTGTGATTGTGACAGTTCAAAAATCCTAGATAAAAAAAAAATCAATAAAAACTTTTCAACACATAAATATTTTTTATCTAAGAATTAAGTGACTCTGATTCTCCATTGCACATGGAGATATGTAGGAACAAGAAATAATTCTTATCGAGACAAAAAATAAAAATGATATTATCTTTCTTTTTTATAAAATGGATGCACTTGTTAAATAAAATATATTTAATTATCATCATTAATTTTTGTTAATTTAGGATGAGATAAATATTTTAAAAATTATAATAGTTTACTTAATTAAAGTCATCTTTACTAACTCACTCCCGAACTTAAAATCTGATATCGAAGACTATTTTCTATTTTATAATTTTTTTATTTTTTTTCTTAAAATAAATATTGATGGCAACTCTCTATTTTTAAATTCTTTTTTCTTCATCCCGTTACGACCTTTTAGTTACAATAACATATTTTATAATATCTAATAACATTATGTATATATATAATAAACAACTCCCTCCAATAAAATACATATAAAAAAGAGTATTTTTTTTATCATAATATTTAACGACATGTATTTTTAGATATCAAAATAATGTTTAACCCTTATTATTATCGTCATGTTTGTAATTCCCTTGTATATATAAGCAAAATAATTAATTTTATGATAGATTAAAAAAATTATTAAATTCATTTAATTTTCACAATTTTACATAAAATATGTATTATATTTTTTAAAATATTGTAAACTGTTAAATAGTATTTTTTGTTTATTATCATAAGAATATTTTTAAATTAAAAATATTAAATAAAATTAAATTTATTTATATTTTTAATAAAAAATTAAAATTATTTTCACCCATAACTATTAACTACCATCCCCTCGGATATGGTCTTTTACCCCATTAGAGTTTCTAAAAATTCCCAAAATTCTCGTCGCTGTGCTTTTCGTATGTAGCTTGAGCAATTGCATTGTCAAGATTCTGTACATCGAAGAGGAAGTGGTTGCAGCGTTGAATCGCATACCCTGTTATGGTGTGGAGCATCAAATATCACTTGTTCCTAACACAAACTTCTTGAGGTGCTTCAGATTGAAGAATTGAAACCTGTAAGTGTGTAAATGGTGCCTAATTTTCTCATTGCAAAATTAATTGCATCATCATTAACACGCTACAAGATCACCCATTTCCTATTGGGTTCACATTCTCTGCTGCAACACAAACACAAAGCTTCACTTTTTCTCTTCAATTCATTCACTTCTGGTGCAATCCACCCCAAAGGTGACACCTTTACAGTGTCTTACTTGGTCAACTCATGTGGGGTGTCCCCAACACTGGCCAAGGAACTCTCCAAAAGGGTCAATTTGAAAACCCCAGATGGCCCAAATGCTGTTATTGATCTTCTCAGCAACTATGGGTTCTCCAAAACCCAGATTGCAAAACTTGTGGAAAAGCATCCCTTGGTGCTTGTTGCAAAGGCAGAAAATACCCTTTTGCCTAAACTCAAGTTCTTGAGATCTATTGGGGTTTCCAATACTGATCTTCCTAAGATTCTGCTTCGAAACCATGCTATATTGATGTGTAGCTTGGAAAATTTCCTCATCCCACGTTATGAGATCCTCCGGGGTATAGTTCAGGATGATCAGAAAGTTGTTAGAACTTTGAAAAGTGCTGCATATAATATTACATATTCTGACGTGTTGAAAACCATGGTTCCAAACATTAATGTTTTGAGGCAATCCGGTGTGCCTCAAGCTTCTATCTCTCTCTTGGTGGTCCATTATCCTTGTGCTGCGTATGTGAAGCATTTCAAATTCGTGGAAGCTGTCGAGACAGTTAAGGAAATTGGGTTTAGTCCTTTGAAAACTAACTTTGTCCTGGGTGTCCAAGTGCTTTTAACTATGAGAAAAACAGTGTGGAAGTCAAGACTTGAGCTTTATGAGAGGTGGGGTTGGAACGATGTAATGTTTCATGAAGCATTTAGAATGTTTCCCAATTTTGTGAAGTTGTCAAATGCTATGTTTACTAGAAAAATGAGTTTCTTAGTGAAGGATATGGGTTTGTCATCAGAAGATATTGCTAAATATCCTCCAGTTCTAGCCTACAGCTTGGAGAAGAGGATCATCCCTAGATTCTCTGTAATTAAAATCTTGAAATCAAAAAGTCTGCTCAAGAATAGTTTTCACTTCAGTTCCTTTATGAATGTAACTGAGCAATTTTTTTTGGAGAAATTTGTCATCAACTTTCAGAAAGATTTGCCTGTTTTAGCAAATGTCTACAAAGGTTTGATAGATTCTCAGAAGGTAATGTAGCTTGCAGGCAATTGTTCAAACTTATAATTTTCAATTTCAATGCTAAATTAAACATTTATTTTGTCTGCTTTTGCTTTCTGTGTTAATGTTTTGAGTTTTGTTTTTCTTGGGTAGAGGGATTTTTGGAAAGATTTATAGCATATTGATTTTATAATCAAGTATATAGTTCACTTATTGGTGATTTTCAGTTTCAATCTCTTGCTTTATTCATTTATAGATATAGCACAAGTACAACACATTAAAAGAAGAGTGCCTATACTTTGTAGGCCAGGGGTAATTCTGACAAATTTTATCTTAATTTTTGCCATTCTGTTTTAAATCTGTATATCTACTATGGGAAACATTTGGCTTTGGTTTGTTCTGTCATCACATAGATATACTATACTATTTTGCCATTCATTTAAATAAAAGTGAAATCTGATTGGCATGTCAACACTAAAAACTACAATAAACTATATTGAATCTCAGAGGAAGTCCCCTGTTATTTAAATGGAATCAAGCTGCATTTAGTTGTGGTATCATTGTCATTCTTTAACAAATGAATTCTATTAAGATGTTTTACTCTTACAAGCTATGATGTAGTCCCTTCAACTGAAAAGTGTCACTATATCTTAGAATAGATAGGCAATTTAACTTGTAGAAGTAGGGAATTAGCTTTATTAGGAAGTGAGGGTATAAAAGTAGGCACTCTATTTGTTATCTTTTGCGAATCTAGCATTGGCTGTGTTGTAATAAAGGGGAAACCCTTTGATGGAGAATTCTCTTCAGAGGATCTGTTTTTGTAATACAATAAGGACAAAATTTAAATGAAGTTTTTTATGTGCTTTTGTTGTCGTTTTCCAATAGCAATTGTAGCTTTGTCTTGAAAACTGTTGATTTTAAATGCAGACCTTTATTTCATAGGTCACTGAGGTTAAACTTCAATTTTAATAGGAGAACAATGCCTAACACATCTAAACAATTGTACTTAAGTTTTGTCCTACCATAACATTATGAAAACATTATTTTCCCCTTCCTTTCTTTGTTTTCCTCATCTTTCTCTGAAAACTCCGAATTTGGCCCTAGTTTCCAAACAAACAAGTTTTTATTACTTCGAAAGTGACTAGAAAGTGGGGGTTGGTCAATTTCACAAATATTGTTTGTAATCAAAGTCTATTAAAGCATAAATGTTTCTCTAATTAAGATATGTAGGAATTATATATATATATATATATATATATATATAT